CACGGACGATAAAGAGAAACATCTTCAAGGTGCTTTTCCGTTGTCTCAACATCTAGTTGATGGGGAATTACAACGAACTCTCCACCTTTATCACTAACCGATAGTCCTATGTTTTTCGATCTTATTAGCTCTCGTACCTCCGGCATACCACGTTTTTGTATTTCAGTGAGGTTGGAGCAGTATCTCTTAGCGCGATAGTGATTAAACCAAAAGAAAACTGGCTTCCATTTCTGAGCGTGCAAATTAGCCTATTAGAAAACGCGTACATTACAAAGTGGTATCGAAAGCCAAGTAGTAAAAACATCCCAGTTCATTACCTCTCCTCTCACCCCTCTCACACGAAAAGGGCGCTTGTGAGAAACATGTATCGAACAACTACCAGTGTGTGCACAGGAAGACAGCAGAGAGAGGAGTCCCTGAACGTGGCGCGACAAATAGCCATTTTTAATGGCTACGAAACTGTAGCACGAGATAGGTGTTGAGGAAAGCACAGGTACCCCAACGATAACTCTAGCGACAACAAGGTCCCGTTTATACTGCCCTTCATTTCAAATGAAGTAAGTGCAGCTATAAAACGCTGTTTAAGAAGGGCCAGTCTAGAGAATTCGGTAACGATAATCGAAATACCACCGGGTAATCTAAGACGTCAGCTAGTTCGTAACCGCCTATACGACCATCTACGTGCAACGCAAAATTGCATAATTTGCACCAATGGTGGAGACGGCAACTGCATGAGTTCGGGTACAGTCTATCTGATCTCTTGTAAAGTGTGCGGAGACGAATACGTTGGCGAAACGGTAGACCACTTTGCATACGTATAAAAGAACACCTAGTCGGCAAACGTCAACCAAATACTCCACTAGGCACGCATAGGACGTAGAGACATAACAGGGGAGGCATTGAAGTTCGTGTCACGATCCTCGCACAGGAGTCAAGAACGCAAGCGCGCAAAACTCTAGAGGCATTCTGGATCAATTCCAAGAATCCGGAAATGGCCCGCAGAGAGGAATGCTTCATTATCACGCGTGATATTGGACAGCATATAAACCTGTTATTCTGATGGGAGGAGCACATTACGCTTCCATGTAAATTCTGTGTGGTCAGTCTTCACACGACGTAACAAAGTGGAAGACTCATAGAAAGCGGTGAGTGTGCAGAGCTATGTTAAATATGATTGAAATCTTGATTTAGCATTTTCCCTGTTTGGTTATGGAGGTGTTTGGCCGAATAGATTGCTGTCAACTTGACCTTTCCAGGCTCTGAGGAAGGCGAAATCGGCCGAAACGTCAGCTTGTACGCAAATAAAGAAATAAAATAGCACCTCGTGTTTGCTGAACAGAAGTAGAAAGAATTATTCAATCAATGCCGAGGTTAATAGAAAGTCGGATTTGGGAGTTACAGAAAGTAAGTGTCAACTCGGCGCCTCAGAAGCAAGGAGTGCGTTTCTTGGTTTCCCATGCGTCCTGGTGAAGCATAACGTTGGTTCTGGTCAGTAATTAACAATCTCTTTCTTCCACCTGGAGATGTGCTACGATTCCTTCCGACTTACCTGTGAGAGCTCCCTTTGTGTGTGAAATCCATGGGGTTGTGGTACTGTGGGCATATAATGAAGTTGTGTGCTTTGTGCAAAGACTGTTAAGATGTTCACTTTATGGTTCTGACTTCGTGCTATTTTATAAAATGCGTAAAATTCACCATAGAGTTTGGAAGTGAGAAAAAAACGACTTGCTTGTCAAGAATAATGCTTCACACTGGGGCGATGCCAGTTCATCGACGACTTTCGGCAATTTTTCAACATTTATATTTCGGAAATTGGGACCTTAGGAGAGTTACAGAAGAAACTTTGCGCTATCGTTCTATGGGAATTAGTATTGCCATATACATCGGCTCATTCCCTATGATAAACATGATTCATGGTAGCGAGGTGGACACCAGAGACTAGATCGTCTACTACTCACCTGTGTAACGAGCAAGCGGTAGTCACTTATTTCCATTATTTCCACCTATACATACTTATGTATGCACGTGTTTGTTTTAGAAAACCTACTTCCCTTTAACTTCGGCATGAAGAAGCGACATGCTGTTCTACGAGCGTTCAAGTCGTTGGTACCAACGACCTGCATGACATACATATTATATCCATTTTTCTGCGTATGCATCATACAGAACATATTTATATTATATCATATTCTAATTTCGCAAGTGCTTGCATATATATTTATATAATTGCATCGGGAGCGCCTGTGGCGCAGCGGTCGGGGAGCCCTGCAATGCACATAGGATCGATCCCGGCGCCCCAGGATCACCAAGCCCTCCATCCTTCCAAGGTCGGCGAATTGGTACCACACTTTTCTAGGAGAGTAGCAGCACTGGCTCGATTCATCGGTAGGCCACCGCGAGTCATTGTAAGGCCAGGTGTGCATTCAATCACCTCCAACAAAGCTTAATGAAGTTGAGTGCATGGCGCATCCCTCAGGGAAAAACTCAGAGCTTTACAGCTTTATCCTTTATTTTTAGTTTATGCGTTGTTTTAGAACCGAGCCCATGTTGGATAAACTGCAGTGGATCGGCAACTGGAACGTTAAGTATGCAAAAATTTATGCTGTTTTCTTGGAATTAATATGCTCGAGACAACAGTACTCCCAAGTACACTACTACGGAAAGCATTTCGATTTCGTAAAGGCAATGTTCTAGATTCCAATGGGCTTTCTTTCAATTGGTGTTGGCTTAAATCTAAAAGACTAGAATATTCTCTTGCATGTGTGCAATTCAATCTGTGAAAATCAATGTGAGTGCGCCAAAAAGTTCCTCTGACATTTCGTGCCTTTGTTGAAAAATTCTTCTAGGCGTAACTTAGAGGCTGTTGATGGGGCGATCTCCGTTAAAAGCACGAAAACGAGAGAAAATGTACGTGTCATGCTGGCAAGAAGGCACTTCGTATTATTTCTGAGGCTAGCATACCACCTTTTGAGGACTCCTCTCCTCCATCTCTACCGAGTGATTACAGGTAAGCGTTCCCCGTCACGTACTAAGAAGTTCATAAGCTTTGAAACCGGACACGCGCACTAATTTACATGTGTTACGCAATCCTCTTTTAGTTGAATGTCTTGAGACCCATCTGCTGTAATTCATCCAGTTCCCACTTGGAAGAAAAACTTAAAGATCACCATGGCCAGAAGGCTTTGATCACTAGTATATTTGGGACCTCTCCTCCGCCACCTGCTTCAGGTGAATATCCTCTTCTACTTGTAACAATGTGAGTAAATTGTCTTCTGTGTTATTTCTTTCGTCTTCATTTTTAGTACTTTCCAATGAGAATTTAGGACCCTGAAACCAACTTTTCCGTAACAACCTGTCAGGTGTTAGGGGTATTCTGTTTGCATGCACAGACCCTTTCGATTTCAACGATTTATTTATAGCTGATGTACGCGAAATACGGACGAATACTTTGCGCAACGGAAGAATACCGTCAGAGCAGTTACAAGATTATCTTTGGACAACAAGTAGGTGATGCACATGTTTCGTTTATTCAGTGCTTTGGCATATCTTCTTCTCACCCACTGTTAAGGCGCACACATCTGTTCCTTTATTGGAACCAAAGGTTAACACCTAGGGAATGCCATTGATTGGCTCCTATATCAACTTGAAAATACACGGTGAGCTCCCACTTGCTAAAAGACGTCCTCTGCAGGTTCATACTAAGCGTAAAAGCATACAGAACATTTTTTAAAGCCGTTCTGATGTTGGCCAATACTAGGCGAAATATAGTTTACGTGCTCGGAGGTATTATGGAAGAAACTAACACTCTACGCTTGAATTATACGTTGTATGCGATTGCATCCGAATCCTCGATAGAAGACTTGCTCATACAAGCAAGAAGGATAAGGTACGACGCCATCGGCCTGGCCAAGACTAGACGACACCATCCATTCAACGCCGTCTATGACACCAGAGAAGAAGTGGTCCTCGGTTGGGAGTCTCCCAAGGGAGAGTACTATAACGAAATAGACCACAACATAGTAAATAGAAGGTTTTACCTAGCCGATGTCGCTGTTGTCCTAAAATTCTACACGGGATCAGACTATCGTCTCCTTCGTGCAAGATTCTATTTCTCGCGAAAAGCAGAAAAAGCCGCTGAATTCAAAAACCGAAGTCCCAGAATCACCGTCAACTGGAACTTATTCAACTCATTAGTCGGCTGTTGGGAATACACCGCTGTCGATAACATCGACGAGGAATACTATCGACTCATTCAACATCTTCACGTTGAAGCTATGAAAGCTGAGAGCTCGAACGTCACCAAGAGGCGCCTGACTCCAAAAACACTCGAGCTGATACGCCAGCGGGGAATCGTACAAGCTGCAAACAACCGCAAGCTTACATCCGAACTTGCAAAACAATGCAGACAGACGATAAAAGAAAATCTTGTAGAGAGAAGAGCAGCAGTAATGGTCGAAGCTGCAGAGGCTGGGAAAAGCATTGGCAAAGCCCACAGAAGCTTCGCCAATTGCACGACCAAGATGATTACATTCCGACGCCGAGAGGAAACAGTGACAGCGCCCAGAAAGGCAATGAAGAAAATCGTTCACAAATACTACTGGGATCACTTCGATAGCCACATCCACCTTCCATCATATGAAATAAAGGAGGATGGATGCGTTGTACCACCGGGTCTCCCTTCCGAAATCTGACATGCTACTTCGTCGGTGAAAAGTCGAACAGCGCCAGGTGCGAACAGGATAAGATCTGATCACCTGATGAACCCTCCACCTGTCTTCATAAACACACTGGTTCGGCAATTCAAACGTTACCCGTCCGAATGCATGGTCCCTTTTCAATGGAAGACCAGCAGACTGTCCTAATGTTCAAAAAGGGTGATCTACCCAATATCGGCAACATTCGTCCAATCTGCTTGCTAAACATTAGCCAAGCGGAACCAATGCTTGCCGACTTTGATAAAACGGGTAGAAGGATTGGTCTCCGACTAAATCTCACTGGTCATGAAGAACGGATTAGTTTCGTATGCCCCATTAACGCTCAACGGAACGAATATCTCCGAATGCTCCAGTTATGTCTTTCTAGGTCGAAAAATCAACTTGTTGAACGGCCTAGCTCCAGAGTTGAGCAGAAGGAAACGAGCGGCTTGGGAAGCTTTTAAGAGCATCGAGAATGTAGTGAAGGGAACATGGAACACCCGACGCCGCGCCCACCTTTTCGACTCAACGCTACTTTCTGCCCTAACGTATGCCCCAGAAACCTGGTCGTTGCGTAAGCTGGATGAGAGGTCACTCAGCGTTATCGAACGCGCTGCCGAAAGGACGATGCTAGGAGTATCCCGTTTCACACAAGTAAGGGATGGTATCCGAAGCTCCGACCTACGAAAACGATCAAAAATTAAAGATGCCGTTTTGTACGCCAAACAGTCCAAGATAAAGTGGGCCGGACACGTAATGCGTATGAATGACAACCGATGGACAAGAACCGTTAATGGTTGGATTCTTCGGGATGTCGAACGTACTGTAGGAAGACCACCGACTCGATGGTCAGAGTTCTTCACAAAGAACCCTGAAGAAGGATATGATGCTCGACGAGTCTCTAGAGCGAGCAGAAACCACTGGGCTACTCTTGCACACGACAGGGAAAAATGGAAGGTTTACTAGTGCCCGCTCGAGTCACTCGACGACTAACGGGACTACAGGTGATACAGGTGATGCGATTGCCAGTAGGAAGAGATTGTTGGTGACGAACGCAGACTCTACTCCGAATATATACCTTGTCCACTATTGTAAGTGTTTTACACTCAATACAGGAAAGTCTCAGTATTCGAAGTTTTCGAAGTTTCACGCAAAATGGGTCAATGTATTGCAGACTATTGTAAAACTGCTGACCGTAGAATTTGCAAAAAGTACTACAACTAAGTAAATGTTCTTAGTAAAAGGTCTACAAAACCAGTAAGACGCTATAAAAATGTGCGTCAGTACAACGCATTTCTCCGACGAGGTCCTCCACGCAACGAAGGATGTGCACTCTATCTACGCCTACCTCCCATTGCACACTACAAACACTTCCATATAAGTTTCTTTTGGAAGTGGTACAGTGTAAAGCTAAGTGAACGTTTACAATAACGGCGATAAAAACAAAATGATGGGAATGTGTCCTTTCGCAAGGATGTGGTTTGGCTTCTGATAAATGCGCACATCGAGGACGCGCAGGCCTTCTGCATACCACAAACACATGTACAGAAGTTCCGTTGATGCTGGGCCATCTTTTCGTGACGATAAAGTGCCGAACCTCCCAACGGTTTACCGCCTCATCGTGGCTGGGAGGTGTACCTGGGTGTAGGACTGCGATGTACAGCGGGGGGATTCGTCCCCCCGGCTGGTTCTCACAAACTGAGAAGGAGTCCCGCGTTTCCAACACGAAGCCTAGCTAAGAATAAACCAATACCCGGATCCACCACCGTTCTGGTGTCAAAGAAGCGTGGTAGCGGATCTCCTTCTGATCCACAAGGGCTGCGACTACCCCTGGTGGTGAAGACCTGGGGCAGACTTTGGCCAAGCTGACCTTGGGATTCCAGGAAACTACAATGGCTTAACCAGCAAATCTCCGAAAAATGGTGATTATGCTGGGGCCCGCACTACCAATGAGGACGTGCCGTTCAAGTATCAAGTATTAAGTATCAAGTAAAGTACCGAAGCCTATAGACTTCACTGTCTAAGTGCCAACAGATCCTCTGCGGAATTCAAGCAATTGAGTTAACTCGTCCGAAACAACAGTGTACTATACTTCTCGTTAGTGCAGCCCAATGTTGAAATCGTAGCTGTGAACCAGCTCTATTATAAGATCAGCGATTTCCAAGCGATCTACTGACTGCTAAAAGCTGATGGAAAAGCCCTGTGCAGCCAAATAGGTTATCACAAAACGTGCGGATTGAAACCGGGATGTACGGTCCGAAACAGACAGTAGCGCATGTATTTAAATCAATGCGTCAATATGTATTTTGGTGAAAGGGTTAATTGAAGAAGCGTAGCAACGAAAAATAAGCGTTGTAGCTGTTGTTGATTGGCATCGCAGAGAGGAGGAGCGGACGAGTTTCGTTGTGTCAGATTCGGGCGAGTTATTCAAGCGGCGCAGGTCCGCCATGGGTTGGACGTAGTAGTGTGGTTTCCAGCGGTTTCTCATTACGACTAATTGATACTTAGTTGGTCATTCAGTTAGCGATATTCATTTAGCAAGATGTGAGTCGGCGCCTTGGTGCTAGCCATTTGCAGTCTAGGCACCAGTGGTCCTGGTCCTGGTGGACCATTTGGAGGACCGATGACGGCTGCTGGAATAATTAACGGCCATGGACCTCCAATAAAGTGAGTAGCTGAACATTTCACTACATCTCTTCAGGCTTGGGACGTATCTGCATGAAGATTTAAATCAGTAGAGTTAATTCTTCCGCTCTTGCTGGTTTGTGTTCAAGAGCAATTTCAAACTGCGTTTTGCTTATTGGCAGTGAGGAATAGTCTCTTAGTGCAGTCGTAGAGAGGAGTGTCAACGAAGACCAATCGACAACTGGGACCGAGATTCACTAAACGACGCTAGCTGATCTTACCTTGTGGTTTAGCGATCCGTTCCGTTCGCTGGCCTCCTCAAACAGGTGTGCTGGACTCGGTTCCGTGGAAGCAACTCTGACTGGTCCACACCATCGAATCATCTCGTGTGCTCTTGGTGACTTCTCTGTAGTCGACTTCCGGCCGCGTGAAATTCTAAGCCATGCGTAGGTGATTTTCGAATACATTTCCGTTTTGCTTCTACGAAATTTCTTACGGCGGTCATGAACAAACTCTATTGAAACCAATTTTCGTTCACAGTAGGGTCCTTCTTGAGAGCTTAATTTTCTCGTTTACTTCAGTAGTTTTCTTGACGTTGGTTCCTTCCGAATTCAGTAAATGATGGGTTTGTCGGAGGAATTATGATGGAATGGGACTTTATAGCCGTATGTTGAATTCAGCATTATAGCATGGTTGCTGTGTTGATGGCTTTGAAGTGCTGAGAATCATAGGGCGAATGCGAAGCCGCTCATCCTTATCAATCCTTATCAATTGCTTGTCTTCTTATCGCGTCGTCATCGTTGCAGCGTGTGCGACGCTGTCAAAATCTGTCCGTACACGTCCGTTATTCACTCGAGCAGCGACGCTTCTCACGGAGACGCTCAAGGTACGTTTTCTCTGTCGTCATAAGTTGGTAGTTCATTTCTGTGTGCTTGAAAGTTGCTTCTTTATTTTCTCGTTAAAGCGTTTTCTCTGACGGTGTCTTAAGTTGGTAGTTCGTCTCTGTGGTCTGAAGTATGCGGTGTTATGCGCTTCAAAAGTGATCAGCGATGTGTTTTATTTAAGGAATGGTATCAGAAGATCAGTCGTGATCTTCGTGATCATGTTGTTGGGAGACTGGCCAAGGCGATCNGCGTGTGCGACGCTGTCAAAATCTGTCCGTACACGTCCGTTATTCACTCGAGCAGCGACGCTTCTCACGGAGACGCTCAAGGTACGTTTTCTCTGTCGTCATAAGTCGGTAGTTCATTTCTGTGTGCTTGAAAGTTGCTTTTTTATTTTCTCGTTAAAGCGTTTTCTCTGACGGTGTCTTAAGTTGGTAGTTCGTCTCTGTGGTCTGAAGTATGCGGTGTTATGCGCTTCAGAAGTGATCAGCGATGTGTTTTATTTAAGGAATGGTATCAGAAGATCAGTCGTGATCTTCGTGATCATGTTGTTGGGAGACTGGCCAAGGCGATCCTCTCATCGCTGGATCCGATTGTCACCGACGATCAGCGGATTCGTGATGCCATCAATGTTGCTCAAAAAGTGGAAACGGCCACGTTCGAGTTAGCTAACGATCAAATGAGTTGCGAATGTGGCAAATTTGATTTACTATGCCGTTAAGCTATACGTGGACGGAATTGACAGAGCGATTCCTTGATACTTGGATGGGCAATATTGGGAACAGAAGTGCTGAGATCGGCGTGCTTTCCATTTTTCTGTATGGTGACTCGAAATGCGTGTCGCCCGAGGGCTCGAGGTGCTCACTGCAGGCACTGATCTTTCCTTGTATATCGGAGATTTTGCAATTCCCACATGCACATCCATTTTCGCGTTCATCCATGAAAGTGCGAGACCCACTTTTTATTTGGGTGATCATGCTGCGTCTGACTCATCGTGAACTCCGCTACACATCAACGTTCGACAGAGGGTTCATGATGAGACGATGAAGCACTGCAGGGGATCAGATCGTTAGAATTAGAGAAAGCTGTTTTTTGTTGTTCAAAAATTGGATTAATTAAGTAACGAAAATGGCGTTTGAGGTACATCTGCGCCTACCAAAAAGCTGCATTCCGTCCAACATTTCTTCGCAAAAGAAAAGCAACTGAAATGGGAAAGGAAATGCGCCTGTTTCAATTGAAAAGCTGCATTGTGTCCACCACTTGTACCATATGTAGATTAGTGGTGAAAAACATTCATTTGTCTTCATTATTATTGTTTTCTCAGCGTTTTATTCCAGTTTCGTTGCTTTGAACTTTAGCGCTCTAGAGGCTTATCATTGCAGGAAGAGTATTATCACTTGCTTACGCAGAAGATATGCGAGCTTCAGCAAAGCCGTCAAGATTTGAAGGATTCTGGACTTCGAGTTATTGGAGGTGGCGATGTTGCTGCCGGTGGTTGTGGAGCTGGAAAGTCAAGGGTACAGCGGAGTCGGCGTTACGGTTGTTCAGAATGTGAGGCTCTAGAGATTTAGTTGCTTTCCATTCAGATCTTTGATCTTAATCTGTGTGCCTGCAATGTATAGATTTCTTCGTGGAATTAGGATTATGAGACATTCTTATATATCCCGCATCAAAAGCAATCTCAGTCGGGGAAGAATTTTGGTATTTGTGGCTTACACGAGATGTATATATATATATACATCTACATATATGCATATATATGTACATATATACGTATACATACATGCAAATATATGTACACCTTTTCCACCTTTTGCCCAACTTCAGGAATACGTTTGCAGAAGGGTTCAGCGTCTTCGTGAACAGCTTATAGGGTACAATAAATAAGCATATTGGACGGTAGTTAAGAGGATCTCTCTGTCATTTTTAGGTAGGATAACCGTACGCAATGACATCCACTGATCTGAGATTTTGTTTCTGAAAGTAAGATGTCATGTACCCGTTGAGAGAAGTACATGTAATTTGTGGCTACCAGATCTAAGGAAATCGGCAGTAATATTATCAGATCGTGGAGCTCTCTTTCTATTCATGTTTCCCATCGCAGGTCGAACCTTGGAGGGTAGAATCCCGTGCGATTTTTTACCAGTCAGAATTGCGAGGTTCCAGATGGCGATTGTGGAGCAGAAAAGAAGTGAGAATAATTCATGTTTTTCTTCTCTCTGGTTAACCTTGTTAAATAAGTCGTTTCGCTCAGACCAAACGTGCAATTTAGGAGAGCCAAGTGGAGTTATTTCGATTAGGCTTGAAATGTGGGTGCAACGTTTTCAAAGCATCTGTACCAGATCTGAGATTTTTCACTACTAGTAGTAATGAAACTCATTCGAAAAAGTGCTCATTGAAGGCACTGTGATTTAGGTTGCTTAGCGAACCGGAATATTTTTTCGCAATCGGTTGAAAGAACCTTGGTAGTAAACTGAATGTTTGGGGTAGTGGTTTTCCTTAAGAATAAACTTCCAAATAATTTCGACCAACACGTGGTGATAATTCGAACATTAAGCATTAAGGAAAAGGAAACCAATGTTAAGTCTTTGTTGAAAGCGAGGTGAGTCTCTGAGTTGTTTTTTCTATGGTTTTCTATCGGTTCTCAGAATTCGTTGCTTCTGTAACTCGGAATTACTAATATGTCCATTAGAACTAGCAAGTAGTTTTCAACTTTGGACATTTACATATGGCCTGCAGGGATTTCCGGACCACTTCTCATGCAGGAGGAAGGCCGTTTTTGCTTTTGAGATTATGGACACCGTTGAGGTGTGTTTCTTCGGTTTCTGTGTTCAAGAGTACGGAACCAACTGTAAGGAGGCAGACTCAAGGCCAGTCGGTCTATATGGACGTGGTACAATATGTACTCGTGCAATGAAATGGAATAAAACCTGACAAACATTAACGATTGAATATAAAGTAATTCGTATGAAGTGCTGAGATATTTGCAAAACTCCGGCCCACAGGTGTATGCAGTGGGGAACGAACACGCGCTGTTGTCCTTACCGGGGGA